TTTATGTGTGTTTTGCCTACATGTATGTAAGTGTACCACATGTGTCCAGTGCCCACAGAGGCCAGAAGAGCATGTGAATCCCCATCATCCAAGACTATTGTAAACTAGAGGTGGCTGACTTTACTCAGATGACCTGAATTGGGGCATTTTGTTTATTGTTTGTCTATTTGTTTTGTTTGTTTGTTTGTTGTTTGTTTTTATGGAGTTCTGGTTTGTGTTTTTGTTTTTATCCCTCAGTATCCAAAGAAGTAGGAAAGATGTAAGGAAGATTGTTTCAATTACTGAAAATTAAGTGAAACTTCAATTCGCTTGTAGCCAAATGCCAGAGACTGTTACCCGCACAACACTTCAAAGAAAGGGATCCCAGAAGTTAAAGGGCATCCAAAACGATTACTTTGTTCTCCATAGTTCACTTTCTAAATGTGCGGAAATTATTTTTGCTTGCTGTCAAAACAAGAAATAATGAGGACCCAGGAGACAGAGTTCTCAAGAGGGAAATGTTTCAAGGTAGAACTCCCAAGAGGTGAATGGTTTTTCCTTCAAATCTCTTGATGATGTTTTTTAATCAAAGGACGCCTATCTAATAATGTAGACTCTTTTAGGATATAGCAGAGAAGTCACACTCTTCCAGGAGCTCAAGAGCAGGTCTCATAGATCTTAAGTCAGGGTATTGCCTGACCCCCTGTAAAGTTTCAATTGCGTCCTAAAGCAGACACCGTAAGGGTGAGTAGTGGTGACTGATAGCTGAGGGGGCACTCAGAAGGACGCTTCCCTCGCTGCGGGACATTCACCTGAGAAGAGGCCAACCTCCTCCAAGACTGTTGCTGCCTCCTTGTGAGTCTAAGGAAAACATATTCTTAAAGCTGGATCAACTCACAACAGGAGCAAATTAATTCCAGGACTTTACTGTTTTTAGTAGTTTAGTCAAAAAAATTTACTGTTTTTCAGCCATCTTTTTTCAATCAGCCCATTCTGAGTTAATATGTCAAGCATATTAATTTTAAGTTAAAGTGGGCTTTTGCCAGATTTAGGAGCTTTATCCTTGAGAACTGAAGAAAAAGCTTTTCAACATTTATCATTTTTCTCTTTGGGGATGGTGAAGAAGCAATACAGAAAATTCCTCAGATTCTGCCTCACTGTGCAAACACAGGGACCGGCAGGGTCCTTAACCCTTCTCTTTCCAGTAATGAGCACACTTAGTCTACTTAAAGGCTCCGATGCCTTTGTTTCAAGTACCTTTCCTTAAAAATGTTCTTTTTCTTTTAACTTAGAATGCAAGGACACTGCTAGAATAATCAGAGCAAGACAATATGGGTTCTACTTCCCCATGCTGTATAAACTCTGATCAGACTCCTTCCTCTGCCTCTCAGGTCAAACTACTAATGGCCCCAAAGTGTTGTCATCATCTAGGTGTGGCCCAAAAAGCAACCAGAGCCAGCAACTCAATGCTGGGTCATTCTTTTTCATCCCAGATGAAGCAATCCATAGATGCTCGCCCAAAGGTGTCTGTGCAAAATCTAGCTCAGTGCAGACATACCAAAGAGGCCCAGCCCTTCTAATGTTTTGCAAGGTGAGAAAAGACACCATTAGGAGGACTCAAAGACAATCAGCCTCCTAGCGAAGGGTCACAGCAAACAGTCCATGCTATGTGTCCTCTACCTGCTAACGACCTCCTTACCTCTCTTGTCATGCTTCCCCTGTTCACTGCATTGCCAAGGAGCCTCTCCCTGGAGCTTTCAGTCCAAACTCTTGAACCGCATTGTCTGTCTTAAATATTGATTGTATCAGTGATGTTACCACCTTCGTATTTTCTTTAATTTTATGCATTTACTGTTAAATTACAGTGGTTATATAAGATGACATTAAACAAACTAAATACCATTTAAAACAAGGAATTTTAGAATACATGTTAATCAAGATATTTAAACTTTTAAATCATATCTCTAAACTTCATTTCATATCTTTTATTTCATCTATAACATACTATTTTTATTAGTGTGCGTGTGTGTGTGTGTGTGTGTGTGTGTGTGTGTGTGTGGTGTGGTGGATGTGTTCATGTGACGGCTAGAGGTTGGTGTTGAGTGTCTTCCTCAATGACTTACCACATTACATTTTGAAACAGTTTCTCACTGAAACTGAGCTCATCAATTTGGCTATCCTGGCTGGTCAATGGGCTCCAGAGACCCTCCTGTCTCCTCACCTGCTTCCACCCTACCCAGCACTAGCGTTACAGATGTGCGCCACCACATCTGGCTTTTACATGGATTCTGGAGCTCCAAAATCAGGTTCCCGTGCTTGTACAGCAGGCACTTTACAAACTAAGCATCCCCCAGCCCTCAATATTTAAATCTTATAAGTTTGCTTCTTTCCTCAGTTTATATAACCTAAGACTACACAGCTTCAAACAGTCCACGGAGTTATAATATTATATCACATTTAGGCTAACATTCTATTGTTCTTCTTTTTAGTTTTTTCCAGATTGGCTCCTTTTTGCCTAGAAAAAAAAAACAATACATTTTTTTCCTAAAATTGCTCTATCTTACATATTGCTCCATCCTGCATCATTACCTGCCCCCTACTTGCTAGACACTACCCTAGCATTTCAAAGCCCTGGTTCAAGCCCCAGCACCATAGAAAGAAAGGGAGAAAGAGAGAGGGGGAGAGAGAGAAGAAAGAGAGAAATGTATGAGAGGTGAGAGAGGGATGGAAAGAGGGAGGGAGGGAAGGAGGGAGGGAGGAAGGAAGGAAGGAAGGAAGGAAGGAAGGAAGGAAGGAAGGAAGGAAGGAAGGATCAGTGAAATGGCTCAGCAAGTCAAGATGCTTGCATCAAGTCTGATCACCTGACTTTGATCCCTGGGACCCACATGATAGAAACTCCACAATTGTTCACCAACCTCCACCCCATTGCATGCACATTCACACACATACACAAGTAAATGAAAAAAGAGTAATTTAAAAGTTGAGAGAGAGAGAGAGAGAAAGGAATGAGAAGAAAGGAAGAAAATTATAGTAGTTCATCACAGTTGTCAACCTGATGGAATCTGAAATCACATAGGCACACCTGCAAAGGATTATCTTAATTAGATCAGTCTCCAGTCATACCTGTAAGAAATAATCTTGATTATGTTGAGGTGGGAAGACTCACACTATTAGTTAGTGGCACCACGCCATCTTGACTTCCCCACTGTGGTGATTTAAATGAGAGTGTTGCCCATATGCTCCAAGTGTTTGGACATTTTGTTCCTAGTTGGTGATGCTGTTTTGAGAAGTCTTGAAGGTGCGGCCATGCTGGAGGAGGCGTGTCACTGGGAGTGGACTTAGAGAGTTCCTAAACCTTGCCAGACTTCCAGTCACTGTCTGCTTCATATGCCTGCTTGAAGATGTGCTCACTGCGCTTTCTGCTCCAGCCACCTCTGCCACCATGCCTTCCCCACCATTATGAACTCTAACTCTCTGAACCGTAAGCTAAACAAACTCTTCCTTCTGTAAGTTGCCTTGGTCATGCTGTTTTATTACAGCAGCAGAGAAGTAACTAATACACCCACCATGATAGACTGTTCCCTTGAACTGTGAGCCAAAATGTACTCTTCTTTCTTTACAATGATTTTTCAGAGTATTTTACCACAGCAACAGAAAAAGTAAGGCAAGTCCTAAAGGTCAAATCCTGTAACAATTGATGCTGCTGTAACCCAAATAACCCGAACCAATACATTAAGTCATTTAATAAATGTATGTAATATTTCTGTACAAACAGAAAGCAGGATGATACCTTGGGCTTTGTTTATATTGAATATGGGTTCACATTGCTTGAAGTGCTGTACTAATAATTTCTTCATTCCAAATTACGTGGTACAAGTAATGAGAAGTGTGACCTCACATAGAATCAACAAATATTTCTTAATGAACTTCCTGTTCCCAAGTTCTGGGTAGTTGCTTCAGATATATCAAAGAACAAAATAGATTTGGTCCTTGCTCTTAGGAGTTTGTAAATCTAATAGAAAAAAGAAATACTCATTTAAGCAAATACCATCTTAAAATTGTATTGCAATCACCTTTTATAACAGAAGCTCTTATCCCTTCAAAGATTGTCATCTGAAAGAGGAGTACCTCCACCAAAGGAAGTGACAGCCAGAATGAATGTTGAGGATGTAGGTATGTTGCAATGAATCGGCGTACTAAAGGTCCAGAAGGAGGACAGGCATGATGCTCTGAGGACGTTGAAGGCCAGAAATACGCAGGGCCGGGTCACAAAAGTCCTTGTAGAGTCCTCATAGAAAGAAGACATTTTGAGGCTGTTAATCAGAATGCAACAAGACAGATGGAAATTGTGGGGTGATCCACACTACTGCAAACCACTGAAACTCATGTCTCTGCGGTCTCCCTTTGGGGCACACACCCATCCTATACACTTATGCTGTTATTCAGACATTCTCCTGTGCGTTGGTTTCCAATACTTCTGTGAAGTGTCTCCCAACAATGTCAGGACATGTGGAAACTAACAAGCCTTAGAGGATTCCATTACCAAACAAATTCAGATCATTGATGGTGTGCTGTTAGCTTCAAAGTTCCATTTGACACAAGCTAGAATGACATGGGAAGAAAGTTTCAAGTGAGTTGTCTAAACGCCTGTGGGAGATTTAATTGTTACTTGGTGTGGGAAGACGCAGCACACTGTGGGAGGCTTCTTCCCTACACTGGTAGTGAAGAAAGTTAGCAGGTGAGCAAGCCCAAAGCACGGGTGCTTTCCTTCCTCTCTGTTCTTGACAGTGGATGTGATGTGACTGGCTGCTTGTACTCCTGCCTTGACTTCTGGAATGGATGGCCTGTAACCTGGACTTGTATCCTAGAATTGTATCCTAAAATAAGCCCTTCCCCCACTACATTGCTTGTGGTCAGAGTAGTGATCACAGCAACAGAAAAGAAACTAGGACACATTGCAAATGCTTTCTGCTTAAAATATAGTTCTCTTTTACCGCCCAAGCTCCCATCTCCATACAAAAGCATTCTCTTGCCGCCTCCTGCGCTGCAATTCCCTTGTCTAACGTCATGATTTATCTTCACAGGCTACAGAAAGACATGAGAAGGAACAGAAACACATCGCTGGACGCGGCGGTGACAGAATTCATTCTCCTCGGCTTGGCCCATCCCCCGAATCTAAGGCCCCTCCTCTTCCTGGTCTTCTTCTTCATCTACGTCCTGACGCAGCTGGGGAACCTGCTCATTCTGCTCACCGTGTGGGCTGACCCCAAGCTGCATGCCCGCCCCATGTACATTCTTCTGGGTGTGCTCTCCTTCCTGGACATGTGGCTCTCCTCAGTCATCGTTCCACGACTTATTTTGGATTTTACTGCGGCAAGCAGGGTTATTCCATACGGTGGCTGTGTAGCCCAACTATATTTTTTCCACTTCCTGGGCAGCACTCAGTGCTTCCTCTACACCTTGATGGCCTATGACAGGTACTTGGCAATATGCCAGCCCCTGCGCTACCCCGTGCTCATGAATGGGAAGTTATGCACAATCCTAGTGGCTGGAGCTTGGGTGGCTGGCTCTATCCATGGGTCTATTCAAGCCATCCTGACCTTCCGCCTGCCCTACTGTGGGCCCAATAAAGTGGATTATTTCTTCTGTGACATCCCAGCAGTGTTGAGACTGGCCTGTGCTGACACAACAGTGAATGAACTTGTGACCTTTGTGGACATCGGGGTAGTGGCCGCCAGTTGCTTCATGCTAATTCTGCTGTCCTATGCCAACATAGTCCATGCCATCCTGAAGATACACACAGCTGACGGGAGGCGGCGGGCCTTCTCCACCTGTGGCTCCCATCTGACTGTGGTCACAGTCTACTACGTCCCCTGTATTTTCATTTACCTTCGGGCAGGCTCCAAGAGTCCCTTGGACGGGGCAGTTGCCGTGTTTTACACTGTTGTCACTCCGTTACTGAATCCCCTCATCTACACCCTGAGGAACCAGGAAGTGAAGTCTGCTCTGAAGAGGTTAACAGCAGGCCGCCAAGGGAATGTGGGTGGAAATAAGTAACACAGGCTCTGAGACCACACGCATCAGTTTGGGTGTTTTGTTTTTGTTTTTGTTTTTGGAGGCACAGTCTCACTATGTATCCCCGGCTGGCCTGGAACTCCCTATGTAGAACAGGCTGGCCTCAAACCCACACTGATCTGCCTATGTCTGTCTGGAATTCAAAGTCCTTCCAGTTTGACCCCTACATCTTCACCTCCTAAAACATCGCTACCTCATTACCGTCTCAGCCCCATCTGTGGACCTGCCCTCCCTCAAACATTCCCTATACCTTCCTGCACTGGAGACTGCATATGTGGGATATGCTCCCACCAACTCTTTCTTGGTTAACTGAGACTTTATGCTTCCTTCCAAGCCAAGAGGTCCATCTCTGCCTTTATGCAGTCAAGAGCCAGTGAACAATCAGAAGAGTGAAGTAGTTGACTATTTCAGAACAAAGCCTCCTGGCAGTACTATGGGTGAAGACTGGGGTGACAGGTGCCTGAGAGACATTCCTGGGACCAAGTGGGCAGAACTTGGTGGATTACTTTTTCCTGGGAAAAATTCTAAATCTTCAAGAAAGCTCTAATGGCAAATCTTGATTGTCAGCTTGACAATCCCTGGGAAGAGGAAATCTCAACTGAGAAATGTCATCCATCAGGCTGGCCTGTGGCCATGTCTGCAGAGCATTTTCTTTATTGCTAGTTGATGTGGGAGAGCCCAGCCCACTGTGGGTAATGCCATCCCTGGGCAGGTGGGCCTGGGCTGTAGAAGAAAAATAGCTGAGCAAGCCAGGAGGAGCAAGCAATAAAGTGTTCCTCCGCGGACTGCTTCAGTTCCTTCCGAATCTGCCTCCAAGTTCCTGCCTTGAGTTCCTGCCTTGACTTCCCTCGGTGATGGACTGTAACTTGTAAGATGAAATAAACTCTTTCCTCCCTAAGTTGTTTTTGGCCAGTGTGTCATCACAGAAAACAGACTAGAGCAGCTTCTCTGATCCTCCTGGTCATAGCTTCTTTTTTCCTGTATGCCTACAGATCTCTGAACTTTAAAATAGCACTCTCCTCGGCTGACCTGTATGACAGTTTAGGTAGGAACCCTTTAAGAACAGAAAACATGTTTCATTGGTGGTTGTAGATATTCCCCAAGTCCCTCCTGGTATGTTGCATATCTAAATTCTCCCAAGCTGGGAATGAGAATGATTTATGTGATTGACACTTCCAGGTCTGGCTCTTAGAACTGGCACAGGAACTTTTCCATATTTCCTGTTCTGAGTAGGGACTGGCATGCGATGAAGATCCAGGTCTATCAGAAATATCTTATGGCCAACTGGAGAAGAGTCACCTACAAATCTGAATCACTCACCTCAAAATTTAGAGAAGGAAACAAACTTCCAACTTCTTTAATCCACTAATGCAATGATGGATTGCTTGTTACCTCATTCTGATTAATATTTTACTCAACACTTTGTAAAATCAAATAGCTACAGAAAAATGTTTTGAGCTGTATCTAAATCACCCAAAGTGTCTACAAGACCTTCTGGCAGACCAGCAAGATGGCTGAGTGGATAAAGATACATTCTAGTTTGGTTTCTATTGCTGGTAAAGTGCCATGGCCAAAAGCAGCATGGAAGGAAAGGGCTTATTTCAGCATACCACTCCCAGGTCACAACCCATCGGTGATGGAAGTCAGGGCAGGAACCTGGAGGCAGAAACTGAAGCATGATCCATGGAGGAATGCTACTTACTGGCTTGCTCCCCCTGGGCAGTGCTCAGCCTGCCCTCTTAATCAATCTAGGACCACCCAACCAGGTGTGGCATTGCCCACAATGGGCTGGGGTCTCCCACATCAGTTAGCAATTAAGAAAATGCCTCACCCTATAATAATTTGGTCAGAGGGACATAAAGGACACATTTTGCTCCTTGCCCTCCTACGTCAACTAGTGTCCAGTCTACAAAGAGAAGGGTCAACACAGAGGAATCATTTCCTCCATGCTTCCAAACGAAGCCAACCATGGTCAAGCAGGACCTTTGACTTATCTTCACATAGATGGAACTGGTAAAAGAAAGGAGCCAGGGGCTCTCCCAAGCCCATGTGACCTCTGAGGAACAGATCCTCAAACGACCTTAAGAGTAAAAATAAATTGGTTTATCTGGACCAACTGTATGGCCTTAAACACCCAAAAGGAAAGTATAACCAAAGATTAAAGGGGCCAATATAATTTTTTAAGAGTCCATATGCATAGCTAAAAGCTACATAACAAGCAACAATGCTAGATAGGAGATACCTTCTTTTGAGTTGTTGGCCAGGGTGGCCAAAGGGGCTCCCAGATAGTAACCCAGCATAGAACTGGGAAAATGAACAGCAGACCCCAATCTTATCTAAAGGAATATTGACAACTGATTGCTGCTAGATGAGGAACAGCTGACCCTCCTAAAACAAAGACCTCTAGATGGGCTGACTAGATTCACCAGAAGGGCAAGCAGTGGGGAATGGCTAGGGTGCCGACAACACAGCAGACAGTAGCAGGGATATCAGAGTATAAGGGCTCTAGTGGGGGGAGGGAGGCTATGGGAGGGTGCTATCTGGGAAGTGGGTGCATAGGTGAATAAGATGGTTTGGGATGTTCTGTGTGATATACGCACACAAAAAAATCAATAAATTTTTTTAAAATGTATTATATTTGAGGAGGAAGCATGGAAATTTATGTCATGCTAATTAGTAGTGGTGATAAACATTACCATTGAAATCTGCCTGATGACTTTATAGACATACACAGGTGCCAAGGATCCAAGTGCAACCGA